TTGGCTAGAACCTCTAGTGTTAATATAAACAATAATGGGGATAAAGGACAGCCTTGTCTGGTCCCGTTATTCAGTTTGAACCAATCTGAACATATACCAGGGCCAATAGTTCTCGCCTTTGGGTCTTTATATAAAGCAAAAATAGCATCGAGCAACCAACCTTGTATACCTAATTCCTCTAAAGTAAACTTCATAAAATCCCAGCTGACCCTGTCAAAGGCTTTTTCAGCATCTAAAGACAGGATCAGCATGGGACTTTTTTCCTTTTGCGAGAAATCTAATGCATTTATCACACGTCTCATATTATTACTTGTCATCCTGTCTGGTACAAAACCTATTTGATCAGGGTGGATTAATTGCTTAATGACTTCTTTTATTCTGCTAGCTATAATAGAAGAAAATATCTTGATATCCACATTTATTAATGATATTGGGCGATAACTCTGTACTCTAGTGGGATCTTTCCCAGGTTTCAATATAGGTAAAATATTTGCTTTAAGCATTTTCTCAGGAAATCTGCCCTTTTTAACTGCGGAATTAAAGGTATTTTTTAGATGTTGTATCAAGTGAGGTTGCATAATTTTATAGAATTTATTTCCAAATCCATCTGGACCTGGCGTTTTATAGGTTTCTAATCTATCAATTGTTATCTTGATCTCTTCTTCCCTAATCTCTTTATTTAGATTATTTATCTGTGATTCTGTTATTTTATTCAATTTAGCTGACTTAATATATTTTTTTATTATTTCTGATGGAGTAGTTGCTGAAAGACTGTATAGATTAGCATAGTACTCATTAAATGCATTCCCTATCTGTTCTGGTAAAAGGGAGATATTATCATTAGTTATTATTTTATCAACCTTATTGGTCATATTTTTTTTTTTCAGCAAATTGGTCATTATTTTATCCGCTCTATTAGATTTGTGATAATATTTAATTTTAAGTTTGAGCATATTTTTTTTTATTTTTTCATAAGTTTTTTCCTGTATTTCTGATTTAATTTTGTCTATTTTTAACTTAATATCTTTAATTGGGTTATCAATATTAAGTTTGTTTAGTTTATATAATTCCATATAAAGATTTTGTATATTTACACCTTCCTTTTTTTTCTTAAGTTTGTTAAGCATTATACAATATCCCCTTATTACTGCTTTAAATGAGCACCATAGAATATCATTTTCCACTAATCCGTTATCATTCTCTTCAAAATAACAAATAATCATCCTGTCTATATAGTCTTTATGCTCCTTACTTAATAATAGAGTTTCATCTAATCTCCATGTTATATTCTTGTTGTTATTTACTCTATTACTATTAAATTCCAAGCTCACACTATCATGATCTGACCATATTACTGGTTTAATTTCTATTTTAATTGTTTTGTCTATTAGTTTTAGATCTCCAAATATTAGGTCTATTCGAGAATATGAATTATGGGGCCAGGAATAGAACGTAAATTCTTTTCCTGCAGGATTATAAAGTCTCCATATATCATATAGACCTTCTTTTTTCATCAAATTGTTAAAAATCCTTGCGTTCTTTAAAACTTGCTTGTCCCATATAGGTTGTTTTTCCGAGAACTTATCTAATAGGGGGTCTTGAATACTATTAAAATCCCCTGCATATATCTTTAATCCAACTCCTATAATCTCAACCTTATTTAATATTTTTCTCAGTAGACCTATAGGATTTTTATTTGGTAGATAAACATTGACTAGTGTAAACAGTTCCTCATTAATTGTAGCTATCAGTATAATGAATCTTCCCTCCAGATCTATCTCCAAGAATTTTATATTTATTTTTAAATCTTTTGCAAAAAATATTGCAACTCCACCCCTTTTCCCCTCCTCTCTAGAGGAACAAACTTTTAAAGGAAAAGAACTACTGGTCCATCTCTTTTCATCCTGTTTACGCCAATGTGTCTCTTGGACCATCGCAATTTGAACCTGTTCTTTTTTTAAGTAATCTTGAAAAGCTAGTCTTTTTTGAGGGATATTTAATCCTTGAATATTTATCGTGATTAATTTAACCGTTGTCATATAATGTCATTTTTTTTTTCTCTCTTCTTTCTCTTTCTCCCTTTTTCTCTCTTTAGACCGTCTAATGAACTCCCGAAAAAAAACAAAAAAAACAAGACCCATTACAAAACATACATAAAACAGCCTCAAGTCTACAAACACTTGGGGTCTATTTCCTAACATTCCTACGACTCTAAAAAGAGTCAAAAAACACTTCCCTTGATGGGTATTAATACCCACTTTAACCTTTTTTCAGGTTCCGGCAGGGGAGGCTGCATCCCGTTTTGAAGGAGCCAAAACTACATTTTTCTTTAACATTCCTATTTCAACATTCTCTTATGCTGTATGACATCTATTCTTCTACTTTTCTCTCCTCCTCCCTCTCTGATACGAGAAAGAGAAGAAGAAAGGAAAACAGAAGGAGAAAAAAAAAAAAAAAATACTTACTTACTAATACCTTTCCCTTATTACACCCTTATTCTTTCCTCTTTCCCTTCTTTTTCCTCTTCCCCTTACTCCCCTCTTTTACTACATACATTATCAAATCTTTATTCTTTCTTATTTATATAAAACAATTTCTTTCCCTTTCATTTCCCTTTTTCTTACTTTTTCTTTCACACCTCTAAATTTCAACTCTTTTGTGTTTAACCTTTTAAATTTATTTTGTGATTCCTTACATTTACTAGTTTCTAAAATCTTATTACTTGTGAGTAACTAACCTGGAATTTATTGTGATTCTAAATTTGACCCTTTCTCCTCAATTTAATGTAACATACATAGTTTTCATTATTATCCTTTACAAATTCATTTGTGTGAATTACATTACTAACATATATGTGTTTTCTTTTAACTTAAAAGTGCTTATCTCTATTTATTTATTCTCCATTATATTAATTTATTCTCTGTGTCTTCAATATGCAGTTTCAACTCTTTATATACTCTGCTCTCAAATTCCAAAGCTGTGATTTTGTCTTCATTTTGCTTTAGTTTTTCTAGTATTTCCTGCAGTTGTTTTTTTGTTTCTGCTGTATTTTTTATTAAGTTCAGCAGTTATTGCCCCCAGTTGCTCTTCTAGACAATGTTTTAGAATGTCTGTTGTAATATAATTTTCTATTTGGCTGGATGATTGACTAGATGGACTTTGAATAAAATCTTCACTTTTTGAAGAATATACACTTGAGCTATCTTGATTTTTTCCTTTATTAGATTTTTGTCCAGGTGAAAAAAAACTTGAGGGATTTCTTTCTGTTTGTTGATCCTGTTTAACTGCTTTCTTAATGGCTGCTTTCGATGATTTAGTTGCCATAGTTTTTTTTTTATTTATTTAATTTCTCTTCCCCCTTTTTTTCCTTTTCTTCCTCTCCTTCTTCTCCTTTTTCCCCTTTTTTCTTCTTTTTTTTCTCCTTTTACCCTTTATTTAGGGTTTTTTCCATATTTGTTTTATATATTTTTTTTTTTTTATTAATTTTTATTTACAGTTTTTTCTTTACTTTTTACCACTTCCTTCTCCCTTTTTTCCTTTTCTTTCTTTTTCCTTATTTTATATCTTTCCTTTTTTTTTTTATCTATCTAATACTGAGTATTGCCAGATCTCTTGTTTCTTTCTTTTTATTCTCTTCCTCTCTCAGTCCTTTCACGTTCTTTTCACAGCATTGAGCATAAGCTAAAGAGCTAATATAAACAAAAACCAAGGAAGTACTTAGCTTGTCTTCATTTCTCTTTGCATCAAATGCTCACTTCACACAGCACTTCCTTTTGACTATTTTATTTATCCCATATGAGCAGATATAGGCAAATTTACATCTTACAGATTTCGACTAATTGTCATTTCACAGTCTTTTAACACAGTCTTTTCACAGCTTTTCACAGCATGAGCAGTAACTAGAGAGCAAAAAAAGGGAGTACTTAGCTTATCTTTAAATCTCTTTTCTCTTTACGTTCTCTTTACATCCGTTGCTCCTTTCACACAGCTTCACACAGCTCTTCCTTTTAATTATTCCTTTTAATTATTCCGTATGAACAAATATGAGCAGGTACAAGCAGAATTACCATCTTATAGGGTTTCAGCTAATTGTCAGCATCAGCATCAGCATCAGTGGTATTAGCGGTATCAGCGGTATCAAAGATATCAAAATGTTAGCCGCTCTCAGACTTGCTATAATGCCGATCTTCTTAGCGCCGTTCGAACTTCAATCTTGCCTCGTGCGATCTAAAAGAACGCCGTTCCTCCTCCATTACAGGGTCAACCTCCCCGCCTCCGGATGCGTGCGTACCTCCGCCCACCTCTACGTCATCACGCAACCTTAAAATTAATTTAAATAAAGAATATATATATATATATATATATATCCCCCCTCTCCTCGTTCCCTCCCCCCTTCTCCCCTCCATATTATACATTAAAGATTCCACATAAGGTTAAGTTTCTTTTTATCTTTTTTCTTTTCTTTCTCTTCTTGCTCTTTATTTTTCTCTTGCTGACTTTACCTTTGTGAATACATTTTTATTAGATGTTATCTTTAACGGTTGAAAATGATCAAATTCTTTGACAATTCTCTTTCCCTTCCCCCCTCATCTCCCTCTTTGCATCATTTGATGTATCCTGCCTGATTTGGAATTAAGTAATCCGTTAAGAATCAGTGTAAACTAGCTCCTTCTCCAGTAGTGAGCCTAAATAAAAAGTTTCAAATATTTGCTCCTAATACCCAAATTTCCCTCTAATTACATTTATTTTTCATTTTGCATGAAAGCAAAGATCTCTATGATCCTTTTTTATTTTGTGATTTAATCCCAAGCCAAAAAAAATGTGATTGTTTAATTTATATATTGCATTATTTGCAAATATTCAATTATTAATTTAATTTTCAGTTGCCAACAATAATCAT